GCTCCTGAGGCAGGATTGTAGGAACCTAAGGGGTGGGGCCCAGGCTGGGGGGGAGGAAATGTGCTGGCTGGTTCTGTCCTTGGCCTATTCACACAGCAACTTCTGGGGACCACCACGGCACAGGAGGGAGGGAGGCAGCTTGAGCCTCCCAGCTCCCCTTCCAGCCCTCACCTGGCTTTGCCTTCTGGGATGAGAAGGGCTGTCTGCTAGGATGGGGTGGGGAAATCCAAGGGGTATATGCCATGCCTCTTTTAGTGTCCATCCCCAAGCCTCCACCATGACAGGGTGATCAAAGAGTGGTGGGAGCACAGAGCTTGTCAGTCCTCGCACAGAGGGAGGGACCTGACTCATGGATCATAATTGACCGGATGGGATGGCCTGGAGAAGGGTTTCCTCCCCTTCTCAGCCCACTACTCAGAAGCCCTAGAAAATGGCGAAGAGACTTAACAGAGGGGGACAGAAACACCCACTCTAGAATGTTGGGGGACTCCCAGGGTATGCGGCTGGGGACTTTGTGTGTTTTTTCTGGCCCCATCCGATCCCAGGGAGCCAACAGCACCCTCTGCTGTCGGAGATGGAGTGGGGCTTGAATAGAGATGGAGCCCGAGGGAGGGGGCTCTGGTGGAGGACTTGGAGGTCTCTGGCTGACCGTCTTGTCACCTTGCCTCAGCTCCGCCGCCCGGCCCGGGCACTCATCCCTGCTTTGGCTCTCACACGTCTCCTCCGCTTCCCTGAACCGGAGAGGACCGGGCAGCGCTCCGTCCCACTCTTCTGCCCTAGTTGGCACAGGGCTGGAGGCGCCAGAAGAGCCCCAGGCACCCCAGAGGTCCTGCTCCTAGTACTCTGCCTCGGCCAGGGTGGGCGCTGTCTCCGGGTTGGGGCCACGTGGCCCTAACCCAGCCGGGGGCTCGGCCCTCCCCTCCGCGGCCAGGTGACTCAGGCCGCAGCTGTTCCCGCGTCACATGAGCGAGGCCTGCGGCCACTCGGCGGGGGAGGGGGCTGGAAGCCTGGGCGGGGCCGCGCGGCGGGCGGGGTCGGAGCCGGGGGGCGCAGCTAGAGAGCCCCTGACCAGCGGCGGGAGAGGAGCGCACAGCCTCGAGGAGCCCAGGTGAGGCGTAGGGCCAGGTCCGCTGCGTCGTCGTCGTCGTCGGGTCGCCGGCAGCCCCCTCCTCCAGGCTCGCCCGGGCCTCCGAAGACGTGCGGCGCTCCGGGCAGCTCCGAAGCCCTCGCAACTTTGAAAAGTTCCAGAGGCCCGAGTGGGGCGGGGTGCCGGCCGCACCAATTTTTTGGGGAGGTTAGAGCGCAGGGGAAAGTGACCGGCGGTCGGGCTTGGGCTGAGGACCGTTTTCGGGACTGGTCTGGAGAGGAGGGGGTGCTTAACGCTTGGGGCTGGCGGCTGAGGGTGGGCGTCGGACTCCCGCCCCTGCCCGCGCCCTCGAAGCTGTCCCGGGCTGCGGGGGCGACGGGTGGGTCCGTGCTGCTCGGCGGTCGCCCCCACCCCTTACGGGCCGGGGAGAAGAGGGGGCTGGGAGACGTGGATCTGACCGCGGGTTTCCGGGTGGGCGGGGCCGGCAATGGGGGCCGAGTAGGGAAGGCCTCGAGGGCCGGCAGGGAGCCCGGAAACCGAGGGCCCCCTCGGCGCGTTCTAATCCCCTTGCCCTCCCCTCTGCTCCAGACCCGTCAGCCATGGCGGTGGAAGGAAGAATGAAATGTGTCAAGTTCTTGCACTACGTTTTTCTGCTGGCCTTTTGCGTGAGTGGGGAGTGGGGACGATGGGGGCGTGCTGGCAGGGTGCGGGAAGACTTGGCTTCCGAGTGCTGAGGGCTGAGGGACCAAGAATGAAGGCAGCTGGAGACCAGATGTAGAAGGAAACCCCGGGGAACGGCTGAAAACAGCTCGGCCACCCCCTCCTCCAGCCTTCTGGGACCTCAGAAGCTGATTTGGATGAAAATGGTCAGCCGGAGTGCGCAGCACCCTCACTTCAACCCCTCCTGGCCCTTCCTGTCTGGTGGCCCAATCACTTGTGATAGGGGCAGTGGGGCAACCAGCCAACCGCTGATAGTATCTCCAGGCCACAGGGCTACTCTGCCCTCCCTACCCTCCTTCCTCCTTTCTTGCTATCCACCTCCTCATTCCTCTTCATTCAGTCATTCCTCTTCACCCCGCCCAGCTGCTTGGGGGTGGGGAAAGGCTCTGCCCACCTCAATTTGCTCTGCCCTGAGAGGCTACCATTTGTCCTGGGACTCTTGTTCCCTTCTCCCTGGCCTCACTGGCTGGAGGAACCCTAGTCATAGCTGATGGGGATGGGTTGGGCCTGGAAGATGGTGAGAGGTCAGTTCTTCTGGGAGCCCATGAGGCCCACAGGAAGCTCTGCTTGTGGTTAGGAATACGTGCCCTGGGGTCAGGCTTTCTGGGAACTTCTCTTTTTGCATGTGATCAAACTGGGCAAGGATGGGTCATCCCCCTCCCCGACAGTCAAAAGCTTCCTGGGGCTGGGGGTGGGGGGTGAGAATCTGTCTTTCCAGGATGGGGTTAAGTCTGTGTCCTGGATGCGCCCGAGGGTTGATGGGTGTGGGTCTGGGCTAACCCTGACCTGCCATTCTCGCAGGCTTGTGCAATAGGACTGATCGCTGTGGGTATAGGGGCCCAGGTCGTCTGGAGTCAGACCATCAGCCAGGGGGCCACTGCTGGCTCCGTGTTGCCGGTGGTCATCATCGCAGTGGGTGCCTTCCTCTTCCTGGTGGCCATTGTGGGCTGCTGTGGGGCCTGCAAGGAGAACTACTGTCTTATGGTCACGGTGAGTAGGGTGTGTGGCCAGTGTGGGTGCTTGGGACTTCTGGAAAGTCACTTCTGTGGGGGGCTCACGAGGGTGGGTGAAGTGAGGTGGGTAGGTGAGGAAAATCTGTGTGAGTGTCCTTGAGATTGGCTGGGCCACAGCTGGCCCCTCTTACCTAGACTCCAAACCTGACTCCCGTCCTTTGCTCCTGCAGTTTGTCATTTTCCTGTCTCTTATTGTGCTGGTGGAGGTGGCTGCAGCCATTGCTGGCTATGTGTTTAGAGACAAGGTAAGCAGGGAATAAGGGAGGGCCTTGTCTCAGAGGCCTGGCTACGCTGGCACTCAGGTTCCCTGAATTCTGACCTCAACAGTGCTCCTCTCTACTCCCAGGTGATGTCAGAATTTGATAAGGATTTCCAGCAGAAGATGAAGGATTACCCAAAACAGAACCATACGGCTTTGATCCTGGACGGGATGCAGAAAGGCGTGAGTGGGGTTGCTGGGAGCAGGGGTAATGGGAGAAGAAGATTCTTATCTCCATATTGAAGGTGGAGGTTCACTTAACAACCTCCCCCAAATCTCTCCTTTCTCCCAGTTCAATTGCTGTGGGGCAGCTAACTACACAGACTGGGAGGCCATTCCTCTGGATCCCAAAGGCCGGGTCCCTGACTCCTGCTGCGTCAATGTCACCCAGGGCTGTGGGATTAATTTCAATGTGAAAGACATCCATACCGAGGTAGGGAGGAGGCTGAGATGAGGTAGCAGGGGACTTGGGAAACTTGGGAAATATTTTAAGAGGTTACAGGAACCAGGAATGGAGGTAGGAAGGGTTGGGGCTCTGGGAAACTGGGGATCACAGATGGGGAGAGGATATGGGAATGCTAGGGGTGGGGGAGACAGATGGATCAGAGGAGGTGGGTGAGAAGTTTCTGATGGTGTTCTTGCCTTTTGTGCCTGCTACCCTTCAGGGCTGTGTGGAGAAGATTGGGTTCTGGCTGAGGAGCAAGGTGCTGGTGATCGCTGCAGCAGCCCTGGGCATTGCCTTTGTGGAGGTGAGAAGTGCCCTTGGGATTCACTCCAGGGCATCTGGGAAGTAGGAGCAGTGGGCAGGAGGGTGCTAAGCAGGGGATGCGGTCTGGGGAGGGGAGCCCTGGGTATATTTAGGGTCTCTTGGGTGGGTCGGGGGTACCTTCCCCTTCTGATTCCTCTCCATCCCCCTCTCTATCTTTCCTTCTAGGTCCTGGGAATTGTCTTGGCCTGCTGCCTTGTGAAAAGTATCCAAAGTGGCTATGAAGTGATGTAGGGGGTCTGATCTCTTCAGCTCTTCATTTAGGAGAGTGGGGTAGTATACTCCACATTTTTCAATAAAACTGATTATTTTTTCAGACTGAAAAGACAGTCTCAGTTTATCTTAAAGAGTGATGCTTTATCCCTTCCCTCTCCTCCTCCATGTTCCTGTCGTCTGGGACCTTGTTCTGTTTGCACCTCTGGGACAGGCAGACCTGTTTTGGGGGGTGTTGGCAAGAGGGGATTTTGCTGAAGGCGTTGGTTGGGCTGGCAGTGAAAGCAGGGATTGGGTAGAGGCTGTGGCCCACTGCCCTCCCTGTTGCCTAGTCATGTGCTGTCAGGCTCAGTGCTGCAACATTCATGACGCCATCTTTAAAAGTCAAAAAGATTCCCCACAAAGGTTCTACCTGGGAGAGGCCAGCCCACTGTGTACCATGGACATCGTCTCCCTGGCCTTCTGTTCACCTCTGAGAGCCCAGCAACTCCTTGCCCTACCCAGGGGCCTGGCTCCTTTCAGGGTGGTAAGTTGGCTTCGACACCTGTGTGGCCAGTATCCATCCTTGACTTAGATAACAGAATTTAAGTGGGTACTGCCTTTTTTTTCCATGGAAACCACTAAGCCTGGCCCTGACCCCTCCTCACCACCTTCCCTCACCCCCTCAAGAAAAATATATAACTGCCATTCCCACTCCAGACACTGAATTGCAACATTACTCCATGTAGAGAATAAAGGAAACGTCCAGTAATGCCCTCTGGTGGACATTCCCTTAGGTGCAGCTTCAAAGATCACCTGGAGATGCAAGACTGCCTGCCACCTTGTGCCCCACAGTGGGTTCTAATTTAGCAGGCACTAAACAGGCCAGAGACCTTGGGCAACAAGGCAGCCTAGGGTAGTTAGCACTTAAATGGAGCACCTTCATCTTTGCCCTCCTGTGTTTTTTGTTTTAAACTACATATTTATTGTCTATTTTATGCCAGGCACCAGGCAGTACCAGGGTGGGGACAAATCAAGTTCTTGGACTTGAACAATCTCTTGCTGGAAGGCTGGATTCAGTAGACTGCCTGGGTAGGCTTGGGAAGGACCCAGCTGAGCACAGCATCCACCAGGCTGGCTGGCAGATAGGAGGCTGGCAGCCAGAGCAGCTTGGCGTCCCAGCCTGGGCTGTAGCGGGTTCTGGGGTGACGAGCAGTCAGGGCATGCTCCAGGCACCTGCTCACCTTGGTTAGGTCCGGGTCACAGATCAGGTTCATGACACGCTGCTGCACTTGTAAGTCTGCAGCCCAGTGGGTGGTTGTAATTAGTGTCCCTGTCCTGCTCCAGCCCATCTCAGGCCCTCTCTTGTGGGTCCTGGGGCTTGTTGCCCAGCAGAGGTGAGGGGAATCCTTAGTCCCATGCCCAGTTTGGGGAGTGGGCGGGCTCCACATGGCCTGGGTGGCATCCTACTCATCCTCACCCCCTTTCTGACCTACCGCCCTCCTCCCAGCAGGCCGGTGCAGGACTGACCTTTCTGGCACACTCGTTTCCCTTCGTATGCCCCCCTATATGGGTCCTGCTACTTACACTTGGTGAGGAAGTCTTCCCCATAGTGGGCCTGAGTGGCTGCAGGCAGCCGTGCCCAGCAGGCCTGCAGGGCGTCCTCCAAACTCTCCAGATTTGTCACAGGGGTTCGGAAGAAGCCAGGCTCCACGATGGAGACTCGTATCCCAAAAGGAGCCACATCCCGCCTGGAGTGGGGACAGGGGGGGAAGTTTCTGGGTTCTTGCCCTCATAGGGAGGGGACTTCAGGGACATGGATGGGGGCTAAGATGGGAAAGTTATCACAGACCAGGGACAGGGGTCCTGACAGTAAGGACTGCTGCCCTGGAATGAGGGGCAAGTGGGAGAGAGGAAGGGAGGTATTTTTGAGATTCGTTTTCCTTTGTATTCTATGACCTAGAACAGGTCAGCAAACTTCTTAAAAGGTCAGATAGTAAATACTTTTGGTACTGCAGGCCTAAAATTTAATGATATATAGGTACTTATATAACCATTTAAAAATGTAAAAACCATTATTAGCTGGTAGGTGGCTGGCCAGATCTGGCCTGAGAACCACAGTTTGCCAACTCCAAACCTGGAAGAACCCCATTCCCTAGCTCAGGGAGTCCATAGTGCTGGATATGAAGGGTGTAGACCGGAATTTGCTGGAGGAAAGTGGGGATACATCTAACCACCCTGGCAAAGATGCAGAAACCCAAGTATAAAGTATGGTTCCATGGTGCCGATTGGAAAATTAAGACTGAGGGATAGGGACAAAAATCGATATTGAAATTATTTGCTGAGTGATGGTGACGAAGGCAGGCTTCCTTCAGAAGTTTGGCTTAGCTTCGAGGACTCCTAATTCTGCTCAAAATTCAGGCCCTGCTCCTGTGTCATCCTCTGTGTCTCCTGTGTCTCCACTGTGTTCTCATAGGACTTTAAACATTATTGTCTAAAGATAAGGGGCAGAAGAACAGAGTGACCGGGCTCTGTAGGAGAGCAGACAGTCCCAGTGTGGCCTTGGGTAAGTTATGTTACTCTATGGGTATTAATACCTACCCTTGTAGGGCTGCTGGGGGAAGTAATGAGAAAATATTATGTAAAGGTACCAGCTTATCGTAATAATTGTTATTAATAATAACACTAATAATAATGATATGCTTTTGGGGGCATTTTCTATATGCTAGGCACTGTTGAGGCCTTACATGTACCTCATTTCACTCACAACACCCAAGAAGCAGGTCTTTTCATCCTGATTTAACAGACAAGGAATAAACTGGGGTAAAGAGAACTAACTTTTAAGGTCACAAATATCGCATGAGAGGCTTGCATTTGAACCCATGAAGTTGAGCCCTAACGTGTCTCCTCTGATGTATGCCACTACATGTGCTTTAATCATCTCTGCAGGGCAGACACTAATTCTTTTGTTGAGTGGGCCACCCTTGGGCTGGGAGCCCGGGGCCCTGCCCCTTACCTCAGGCTATCCGAGAAGGCCTCCAGGCCAAACTTGGAGACACAGTAGCCCCCACCACTGGCTGCCAAGCGACCCAGCACGCTGGTGATATTGATCACCCGGCCCCGGGCCTGCTGCAGTAGGGGTAGCAAGGCAAGGGTGACCCCGATGGGACCCAATGTGTTCACATTCAGCACCCGATGGAAGTCGTCCCGGGTCAGCCATGGTGTGGGCCCAATGATGCCAGCCACACCAGCATTATTCACCAGACCAAAAAGCCCTGTGGGGAGGTGAGACAGACACTGAGGGTAGGTGGGCCATTTCAAGGGCCCCTCTCCTTTCTGGGAGGACCTGAGCACTACTCCTCCCCCTAATAGTCCCTCTGGCTTCCCACAGCACCTGTGAATGAAGACTCTACACCGTTCCCAGTGGCCCCAGCCATACTCACCTCTTTCCCCAACATGTGTTTCCACCCACTTAGCTGCCCGCTGGACACTCTGGGGATCAGTGACATCCAGCAGGGTAGTATGAAGGCGGGAGGAGGCCACCTGCTGTAGGTCCTCTGCCCCAGAGGGGGTCAGGCAGCTGGCCAGGACTTGGAAACCTCTCTGGTCCAGCCTCAGTGCCAGAAGCCGCCCGAAGCCTGAGTCACAGCCGGTGATGAAGACGAAGGCATCTCTTGGGGGCAGGCTCTGCCGGTCCCTGAGCAACCACAGCGCTGCCCAGAGCAAGATTCCCAGTAGCAGAGGCAGCCACATGGCCTCAGCCCAAGTGACCTGCAGGTGGCAGCCGAGGCTGGGCAGGAAAACTTGTCTAGTTTACTCTAGCCCATAGGCCTTTGCCCCTAATATCCTTCCTAGCTGAAAGTCTCTGGTCCCAGCATTTTGAGAAATTGTCTGCTTGGCAGATAAATGGCAAATTATGCCTCATCTAGGCAAAGCAAGGATTTGGACCCAGTATTTATGGCTAACAACGAAAACCAGATGAGCCGGATCCTGAGTGCAGCCCTGCTGCACGGGAACAGGAGGAAGTTCTTATTTGCCATCACCTCTTCTCTCCTGCGAAATCAGGGACATCTGAACTCTACATGTAAGCTGGGCCTTGTTTGAGGAAACATACACAGAGCAGAGTCCTGCATTTCATTTCTGGTGGCTCCAAACTTCCTGTGTAATGCTGACCATCTCACTGAGTTTCTGAACCTGTTTTCTCATCTGCCAAGTGGGACTGACACCCACCATGCCTACCGGGGAGTTGTGAAGGATCAAAGGGGAGAATGTGTGAGGAAGCACGTTAAAAGCTTAAAACTTGGAGTTATCAATACATGTAATATCTCGCAAGTCTTCTAGCACCCCAGCTCCCGGTACCCTGCTTACCTCCTCTGGGGAAAGCTAGCAGGTACAACGACACTGGAAGCTTCTTCTTTTGCTTTGTTTGAGAGACTTTGCTCCCAGTCTTCCCAGGCTACAGCTAAGGCCAAAGTCCGCAGCGGGTGGACTGGGTGCCAGACGTATTAAGTGCATGTGGGCTGTAGTGGGGAGGGCTGGGAGGAGGAGCCAGGGAAACTGGAGCCCGCCGGCTGAAGGCAGGGCTTGGCACAGACCAGGCATGCACGGACCCCCTTCTTGGCTATCTTTTCCAGACAAGGTTTCTGAGCACTTATGTCATGGATTCCCAGGAGGGATATGTCAAGGATATCAGCTACCCCCCTCTGTTGGTGACCTTGGACCTGCTATTCCTCCCCGTTCCTGGTCCGGAAGTGTCCCACACTCAAGAGTTAATCTCCCACCTGGTGCAGACTCATGATACTGCTTAGCACCAGGCTGGGTGAGGCCATGAGCACGTGGAGAGGCAGATCGCCAGAATCGGGACCAGGTCCACTTCCTGTCTGATTTCTCCTCTGCAGGAAACTGAAGTCCTGAGTTAGGAGGCTTGGTGCAGGGCCCACTAGGACCTTTTCTGGGGACATGTGGGAACCTCCCTGCTCTGCTTACCCAATAGGCACCAGCACCAGGCCCGAGGAGGAAAAGAGAGTTAGGACAGTAAGAGGAAGTTACTTCTACCCTCTACCCAAAAGGTGCCTGTCCCCTCGGGAAAGTTTTTGACCCTTCCACTCCACCTCACCAGGCTGAGCTAGTAGCTCCTGGAAAGGTACCACAGAGAAATGGAAGCTTGTGTTTTATTCATGGCCTGTCAGCCCCACTCCTGCCCCATGGGGAGGTAGGAGGCGCAGGGTAAGGGGGACGGAAGAGGGGCTAGGATGGGGCTGACTGCAGCTGTCCTTTGTAGACGTATTCCAGGGCGGTGGCAATGGTGCGCATGTCCAGCTCGATGCTCCGAGCCCAGTTCTCCACATCCCCGATTTCCTGGGAAGGGGAGGTGGTGGAGTCCATGAATCAGGGTGGGTAGAGTGTGGCTCTGGGGGATGAATGGGGGCACTTATCCACCTAAACCCTATAAAGGGCTTTGCTTGGACCCACCAACTGCCTTTATCTCTTTTTCTAGCTTCTCTGACACTGAGGCCATAGATGGGGTTTCTGAACCATCCCCACTTCTTCCTTAGCCCAGGCCCGAGGTGACTTGACTGGAGGCATTCAGTGGGGGCTCAGGATGGGGCTGGTGATGTAGGGAGTGTGGCCCACCTTGAGTGCCTGGTTGAAGTTCTCCACCATCCCGATCCATTGGCCTGTCTGCTTGGCAAACTGGGCGGCCTGCACCTGCAGGGTCTTCACCTCATGGTCCAGCTTTCTCTGGTTCATGTAGGCCTGGGCCACACTAGAGGTCGGAGGAGGGAGGAGATCAACTCATCCAACTGGTAGGAGTGGTCTCTAGGACTAATATACCACTGCAAGAGTAGGAGGTCAGCCAGGAATCAGCCTGGGGAAAACCTCATGATTTTGGCCATTCTGGGATATGATGCAAAGGAGACTAATATGAACCCAGCTCTTTCCCATTCCCAGGATTCCCAGGAGAGCCTAGCTGAGAAACATACCATCTCCTACCCCCAAAAAGAGTTCCTGAAGCTGGGTGGGGAGAGGGAGGGCTAACCTGGGTGGGGGGCTATGCCTGAAGAAGAAGCTGGGAAGGAAAAGGAGGCACAGGGAAGCTGGGAAAATCCAGCAGCAGGGACACATCTGGTAGTGATTGGAAGCCCAGAGATCTGTGCAAGTAATTGGGAAGGGAACTTGGGCCACTCCCTGAATCTGGGGTGGGATGGGAGAGCAACCCCCTCCCCAGGAACTCAGGGTCGAGAGAAGATCTCCCAGGGGCTGTGTCTTGGCTCTCAGTCTCTCTTCCAACCCTTCTCCTCTCTCCCACACAGATGAATGAAAACACATGCACACGTTCTCCTTTTCTTCTGCTCTATGCAATAGCTTTTTCCTCCTCAATCAAGGTGCTGGCTGCAGTTACCATTACTGCCAAGAGGTTGGTATCCCCAGCTCTCTGCCTGTCCCCATCCCCCCCTCAACCATCCTGCAGTAACTGCACAATAATTGTGCAATAACTGTTTTCTCTTATTGGCTGGTGAGTCTTTCACTTCCCACCACAAAGCTCTAGGTCAGCTGGGAGACTCCACATCCGGTGCCCCCACCCACTGGAATCTGTGGGGGCTGGAGGGGGCACAGGGTTGGCGGGGTAGAGAGAGTGGGAAGGACACCTGACAGGGGCTGAGATAGACGAAGCCTTTGTGTTCCTTTTCAGGGAATGAGAGGAGCCGTGGGCAGCAACACAAAACCCTTTCTAATCTGGCTTTGGCTTAGCTGCCCTCTAAACCGAAAGTGGGGTGGCCCTTAGCAAAGGAAGAAGCCCAGGCCAGCCTCACAGCAGAGCCCAGGAGGCGCCAACGTGGGTGGGAGGAGAGCGGGTAGACCCCGTCCCTTCTCTTTAGGGACAGCTGGGCCACATTACGAGGTGGTGTAGGAGCTGAAACAGTTAAGAGCAGGGGGCTCCCAATGCTTCAAGATTCCCCTTTGAGTTCCTGAAATCCCAGTTTTTCTTGTTGAACTCCTGCTTTCTATTATTTGTACTGAGTAAAGGGAAAGGCCTGGGGCAGGGGTAGGGGTGGGGGTGGGACGTGTGTGTGGGGGGATCAGAGGCTCCAACCACAGGCTTGTCTTCCCCTAATCTTCCCCAAAAATGAGTAATGAAGATGACAGCCCCTGCCTGGCTCAGTTGGGTGACTCAGTCTCTGCATTCACAGCCAAGCTATTCTACTTGCTCTGGGATAGAAGGCATCACACTGCCTCCTTTCTTCCCACAGGCAGCCTATCAAATCATCACCTCTGCACTCTTCTGGGTCACTCAGGGTCAAGTGACAATATTCATTGCTCCTTCTACCGTCTTTGGTTATTATTGGCATTCTCTTCTAGGACTGGAGCAGGGGGTGGTCCCTGGAGACCCAAAGGAAGGGCAGAGACAGCCGGGCTCTGCTGTAGCTCCTGGCATAGGTTCTGCTTTCACCTCACCAGCTGTGCCATCTCCTTCCTGACAGCTGCTCCCCAGGCCTGCCAGAGGGTGGGAGGTAGAGAGGGTGGTAAGCTGTGGTGAAGGAGGGTGCCTTGCCTCCCACCAAAGTGACAGCTGGACTTGGAGGGGTAAAGGGAAGTGGGCAGACGGCAAGCTGTGAGCACTAAGGGTTATCGTGGGGAGGGGGAAATCTGGCTGCTTCTCCAACCACTGCGGCTTCTTCCTGCCCAACGTTAGGGGCCAGAGCTGACTCAAGCCTCTCTCCATAAACTTAAACTGGGTAGGGGACTGAGTGGAACGCCTCACTCCCTCAAGTGTGAGCACTCTGCACCGCGCTAGACACGGGGGCAGCTCGTGTCGATGGGAAGAGGTTCATACCCCACATTGAGGTGATCCACCAAAGCTTCTGTCAGGCAGGTCGCTGCAGTGATAGCCTCTCGCCTCCTCTTCTCTGGGGGGAGGGGGGAAAGGGATCGGAATGTCGACTTGGTTTTTTGAGGGGTGGTGCTGAAGGTTCCCCGCCCATTCATTACTATTCTGCTAGTTGCGGGGACATCTCAACTAACGTCAGAGTGCCAAGGCTGAAAAGGACTTGGCCAAACAGAAAGCAAGCCTTTTCATTTTAGACGTGAGGAAACTGGTACCCTGGGAGGGGAAGCGACTCGCCAAGAGACGCTAACGAGTTAGTGGGCAGCGTCCAGGCCTCCAGACTCCCAGGCACTCTTCCCACTTTCTTGGCCTAAGGATTGGTAACTTCGGATTCCCAGCCCGGGTTCAGGAAGCGAGGGCCCCACGCCTGTTTCGATGATTTCAGGCCACCAAGAATCCAGTCTCTGTAGGGTCCCCAACACCCTCCCCTCTTCAGGAACGTCCCTTCCCACTTCCAGGATGAGAGGCTGCCTGGACCAATCGGCACAGCGTTCCGTGAGCAGTGGGCGGAACTAGCAGGCCGCGGAAATCGAGAGTGGGAGGCGTTTGCAGAGGGAGCGGGAGTGCTGCTAAAGGGACCGGAGCTTGTTGGCCGGGGAACGGAATTTCCAAAAAAGCCTCCCCCCATGCCCGTGCCACTAGCCCTCGTCCTCCCCTGGATCTGGGCCGTTACTCGCGGTCCAGGCTCCGGGCTGAGGCTAGGCCGCGGCGGGAGAGAAAACCGTAGACTGGACATTCGGCTCACCCTGAAGCTCCTTGCGTTCATTCTGCTTGGCCTGGTGTTCCTTCAGCAGGCGGGACAACATGGTCGCGTCAGGCTGGGGGCTGGGGTGGGGCGAGCACTCCCCGCCCGCTCCGACTCCAGGAGCTGGAACGCACACCTCGGCCCCAGCAAGACCCGGGTCACGTGACTGCAACATCACGTGAGGCCGGGAACCTCCCCTTTTTGAGACAAGGTTGGCAGGTAGTGAAGATCTTGGCTGGGATGGGAGAGAATAGTAGAGGTTTGGGGACAGGTGAGCTCTTGTCCTTATTGGGTGTTCATCTTTTGATGAGTGTTGGAAGCAGTTTTCTTTAGCACCCATATTGCAGAGTTCATTTTTAACATCTCCTTTGGCTCTCAGGCTCCCGAGGCGTGGTGGTAGTGGTGAAGGGGGTTGGTTGCCAGGCTGTCCATCACGGTTTGGTTATTGAGGGAGCAGAGCCTCCCTGGACTCATTGAAATTCTTCTCCTTCCTCGCCTTTCCCTCCTGGCAGCTCCGGCCGGTTCTCAGTCGATTCCCAGCTCCCTCCCTCTAGGAGGGACCGCTTTCCTTTCTTCTCCAGCCCTCTCTCTTTTCACCCCGCTGAGGTTCCTAAGCGCTGGGTGATCATTGCAGAGAAGCAGTGTTTTCGGCCCTTAAAGCGGCCTCCTAGGGAGCTTTGCTAATTTGGCTGGCTATGTGCAATTCCATCTCTGTCCTTTTGTGGTCAGGGAATGTGAACCCATTTCAGTCTCACTAGAAGAGTAAGTGCTGCTGTCAAAGTAAAAGGTAAATTACATAACACCTCTCTGAACTGAGAAAAATGCTTCCGGGATTAACTCCAATAAGAAAAAGTTATAAACACCATCAACGTATTCTTGCCACTGCCACAGTCTCTTGGTGTACCATGCACTAACATGCTGGGTGACTCTGGATTTGGGTTTTCTCCTTAGTAAAATTAGGGGATTGGATTACATAAGTGATTCTCAGTCCTGGCTAAACATTAGAATTACCTGGGAAGTTTTTAAAAAATGCTCTGGCTCTCGACTACTTAACTAGCTCTCTGAGGGGTAGAGCCCAGGCATAAGTATTTAAAAAAAAAGTTGTTCAGATGATTCTAAATGCATTGAAGGTTGAGAATCCCTGGACTAAACCACATCTAAAGTTATTTCCAACTTTGGCATGCTCTCATTTTGTGATTCAGTTACATAGTTGAAAATTGACTGCATTACATCAACTTGCAGGAGGAGGAGAAATGGGTGCTGACTGAGTTAGAATAAAACATTCTTGAATTTTCTGAGAAAGAGTTGAGGATTACTGATGGCTTGATTCATTCAGTTATTTGCAGAATAACATTTTAAATCCTGGGAGATGTGCGACCATTGAAGGATTAGTGAGGGAAATGGTTAAGTGGCAGTATAAACCAGAACGTTAAGTGCCAAAATAAAACCTCTGAATAAAAATGCTGGGGCCGGCCAAGTGACACGTTGGTTAAGAGCTGGCTTGGAATGCCAGCTCTGTGCAGCAGGGCCCTGATTCGGATCCCACATGAGGGCCAGTGACACTGCCCTCTACAGCTAAGATGATGAACAACAGCTTAACCTGGAGCTGGGCTGCCGTGAGTTGCTGGCCATGGCGTAGGCTGCAGCCCCGGCTGCAGTGGGCTGCCATAAGCTACCGTGTGTGGCCGGCAGCCAGCGTGAGCAGCTGGCAGCAGGTGTGAGCTGCCAAGAGCTGCCGTGAGTGGCCATCCAGAGGCCGGCGACCGATCTGCCTCACCTGGGAAGAGCGCAATGATAATACCAACATGGGCCAGTGAAGCGACGTCCTCCACAACTAGACTGAAGAACTGAAGAACCAACAGCAACCTGTCTGCCCCCCTTCCCCGATTCCCCAACACTGTTCCCCTCTCCCAATTCCCCAATAAAATCTTAAAAAAAAATGCTGGATGCTCTGTGTGTGTCGATGCTTACATGTATACTATAATTTCTTTTTCCAACATTTCCTGAACACTTACTGTGGGTCAGTCAAGCACTTTACATGTATTCATTTAATCCCTAGAACTATCCTGTGAAGTGTTATTATTGTCATCCCCAATTTGCATATGAAGACTCTCAGGTACAGAGCAGTGAAGTAACAAAGCTAGGATACAAATCCAGGCTATCTGACTCTAGAGCCTGAGTGTAACCACTGCACTATACTCCTCCATGGGAGAGACCCCAGGAAAGGAGGCCCTGTCTTTTGTCGCTATGCCATTTCAGCTTGTGGGTCATCAGTTGAAGAGAATCCTGGCAAAGGAGGAGTGTTTGGGAAGAGGCTCCTTTCCAGAGAAGGACTGATCAATAGAAGCGGGAAGAGTGAGAGCATCACAGGGCAGCCTGGCCCAGTCCTCCCCCAACTCTGGCTTCAGCTTCTAACTGCAGTGAGCAAGCAAAATAGAGGCAGATTGGAAGATGCCTGGTGCCTCACTCACAGAGCTGTGGGGCCTGGGAGAGAAGGGCAGGGATTGGAAGGGGTGCCAGAGAAAGGTGACTTGGGAGATGTGACACAGAGGGTAGGGGGCTAATGGAGGGGGTTGGTGTTGGGGTTTCAGTGGTCAGTCTGCGAATGTTAAGATTAGGCTGACTCAGGGAGAGTGCCAGGCGCATCCTATATTACCCTCACCCCACTTGGCATAACTGTCTGACATTTTCACAGTAAATATAGAGACTGCCAGGATTCTGTAGAGAGTAGCCCTGCCTTCCTCTCCTACACACTGGCTGTTCCTTTTCCCTAGGGCTGGGGAGAGGACACGGATACCTGTATCTGTGTATCTGGTCTGTATTTAGGGGCTGCAGCTGATCTCTCCAGAGTTGTCCTCCAGCTGCTCTTTTTCTGGGCCCTTCTTGCTCACTGTTGAACTTTAGTTTTTGCTGTGGTTGAAGCTCTGCTCCACCTGCCTTTGGTAGAAATGGATGCATGCTGCACGCATATCAGGAGAATAACTTTTGAAATTTGAAACCTCTTTCTGCCCACCTCTCCTTACAATTTCCCATCCAGATTATTTTCCCTTAGAATAAATGAATGCCATTCCATGTTCTTTTCTTCCACTTATTTCCCTGTTCTTTTGTGGCCTCTTTGAGACTTAGCTTTAATTAGCAAGCTCCAAGCTGATTGGCTGGGCTAACCATTAGGGCCGGAAGCTGCTGAGTTGTTAGGGGTTGGGTGAGGACTGCGGGAGAACATGGATTGAGTGGAGAATGCTTCTCATACTGGGAAAACTGGCTGGGCTTCAAGAGGGGGGCCACTGGTGGCGTGGCCAAGCTCCAAGTGTTGGCCTGAAGCCAGTGCTCAAAGAAAAGGGGCCCTCTAAACAGTTTAAATGGTTCCCTGTGGGAAGTGACCTCCCAGTTCTTCTTCCCAAGATGCAAGGGTTTCCCTTGGATCCTCTAAGACCAGAGTGGTCAAGTCATGTCCCCGCTGACTCCCCTCAATCACATTTATATTCTTTCTCTCCCAGCCACTCCCATAATTCAAACTTTGGCTACAGCCAGAATCCAGAGGCAGGCAGAAAGATTCCAGTGCTGGAGAGGTGGGTGGGGTGAGAAAGTACTCACGTTGTGTATGGTGGGGAGGAAAAGGCTGACCCTGGGACACATGCTCTAAGGCCCTGCCGCCAGATGAGATGGAGGGAGGTGTTAACCCTACAGTGTGTGTTCTGGAAGTATTTGCTTGAAAGCTAGAGACAGCAGCCAGAAAATAGGGATCTCAGATGGAGGGGAAAGAAAGCTGTTAGAGGGGGAAAGGGCTGGAGAAAGCCTCAGATTCCACTCAGACAGGGGCCAAAGTCTTTTCTGAGCTTGGGCATTTATACATTTTAAAAATTATTTTGAAATAGTTAGAGACTCAGAGGAAGTTGCAAAAATACTACATGAAGTCCTGTGTACCCTTCACCCAGCTTTCCCTAGTGGTGACATCTTATATAGCTGTAGCACAATATCAAAACCAGGAGGCTGACATAGCTACAACACTGTTAATTAGCCTACAGGCCTTATCCAATTTTCATAAGTGTTTTATATGCATTCAAGTGTGTGTGTGAGTGTGTGTGTGTGTGTGTGTGTGTGTGTGTAATGCATGTGCATGTAGTTCTGTGCAATTTTACTCAAAGAACCATCACCCAAATCAAGATATAGAATTCTTCATCAACATGAAGGAACTCTGAGCTATACTTTTATATTCAACCCTCTGTCCCCTGGCAACCACTAATCTGTTGTTCATCTCTATAGTTCTATCGTTTTGAGAATGTTATATGAGTAGAATCACATAGTACCAGCATTGGTTTTAATTTAATGAATTCTCAAACTCTTGACTCAAATACAAGAAGTTCCCTGGCAGGTTGTTTATTCTAATGTTCAACTTCCTCCATTCTCAGGATCCCTCTAGCGTTTTCATTCCCTCCTTCACCAACAATAGTCCTACAATATTGCTCTACACTCCAACAGTCTGGTCTCACTTCTCCTTTAGGGAAAATCTACATGTCTAAACTTACTAGGCTGCTCTAGGGCTCTTGCATGTTCCCGCCTTCCCTTGCCCCACTATTTATAGCTAGGCTAATTTTGGGTTGCCTTTCTCTCTCTTCTTTCCTGCTATTCCTCCTGTGGCGATGAGGTGACTTTTCAAATATTTGGGCAGAGGAGGTCAGAAGCAGATTCTTGGCGTCTGATTTCAGCCTTGGATTTAGCAGGAGCCAGTGAAGTGGAGCTGGAGGGAGGCAGAAGTTGCAGGTGCAGAGGGGAAGGCAGCTGGGGTTCTACAGACATTCTGATCTTGATCTGGGTTGAGTCGAGAGTCCTGAGTTCTATCCTGATTTTGCTAGTCTGTGTTTTCATATCAGTTTTCTACTGTCTGCGGCTCTGAAATAGAACAGGGATGGAGAGGGCATATCTGGTGGATAACAGTAGGATCCTGGTGCCAGCCTGCCGACAGCACCTGTTTAGAGGTGTGTTAGCCCCCTGGATAGAATGGCCACAAATGTAGTGTTGCAAAAATGGAGCCCAAAACTTTCAAATGCATAGTAATTTACCCAGGGCAAGGATTGTCCCAGGGCCAGCAGAGTGAGAGCCTACCCGTTTGTTTGCTTTTAAACAGTATAACCTTGGACAAAGAAGTAAGAGAGGTAAAGGCAACATGCAAAGAGGAACTAGGTAGGACATATACTGGGACTTTTAAGAAAGGGAGGGAGAAGAGAGAATCTTAAGAATATGATAGTATCTGAGGGGCAGAGAAAACATTAGAGATATTGAGAAACAGCCTGAGAAAGAGTCCAAGTAAGAGACAAGAAGGGAAACAGAAATAGAGTTTGGGATGAGACAAAACCAGACAGTGAGAGAAAGAAAGGAAAGATGGACAGATGGATATACACAAGACTAACACCCACTAATAAAGACAACTAGGAAGGGGAGGTGGGACAAGTGAGGTTCCAGTTGTGCCAAATCATTTCCTATCTCTCCTCCTGGCCCCATTTCTGGATTGGAGTTATAAATAGAAGAGAGTTGGAAAATGTGCCCCCTCCCTTTGCTTCTTTTTCAGCCTGAGGGCAAGGGAGAGGACAAGGGACAGGCCATTGGTCCCGGTGGGGATCCCTGCAAAGCCCCACCCAGATCCTGCCTGGGCCAGCCGAGGACTCTGTCCTCTCCAATCTCCTCCCCTTTGGAGGGTGGGACATGTACAGTCCTGGGAAGGGTCTGGGACCTGGAGACATCCTTCCCATCCCTCTGTCTCTTGGGTCCAATCTCCTTCACCTTTGCACTTCTTTGGCACCTTCCTTTCCCCCCTCCTCCCAGCTTATTTTCCTCTTCCTCTCTCATCTTCAGTCGTGTGTGTGTGTTCTCCCTTCATTCCATCCTTTGTTGATCACACTCTTGCCTTTATTTCTCCCCTCCTTTGCTCCCCCTCCGCAGACCTGCTGAGTTTTTCCTTTCTCTTCTTGCCTGTCTTTTCCTCTGTTCCCCTGAATGCTGACGACTTATCACTGCTGGGCTCTGGGGGCGGGATGGGAAGGGGTGGGAAGTGGTTTGAATCGAACAGCATGAGAGGTGCTCCATGTGACCAAGAGGAAAGGGAGCGCTAAGGGACCACGAGGGACCCAGGCCCGAGACCGCTCTGTTTTCATCTCCTCTCTTTCTGCTCTCTCTCTTCCCAGACTCCTTTAGCCTCATCACTTCTCATCTCTTACCTTCCTTTCTCTTTTTTGGTCCCTTTCTCTTTGTACTTCTCTCCCGCTCCCCATTCCTAGGCGCCGCCTCCACCCCTCGCGGGCTCCGGCTAAGAGTGGGGGAAGGGGAGAGCGTACAGGGGGCGGCGGGCGGAGCTTGGGTAGGGCTCGGGGGTAGGGAAACGAGGCCAGGTCCCACCCGGGGCAGCCTGCCCGGGCATCCCTTCGCTACGCCTCTCGGCCTCCACCTGCCGCGGAACGGGGGGCGGGCCGAGGGCGGGGCGGGGCGGTGCCCCGGGGGCGGAGGCCGGAGCCCTAGCGGACGCGGAGCCGCGGCTGCCGCAGTGGTGCCAACCAGCGTGGGCGACCGAGCGGTGAAAATTGGGAGACCCCTGAAGACCAGCGAGACTCGAGACCGGAGACTCGTCTTGGAGACGTGGGGCTTGGGGCGCGAGCGAGTTTCCTTGCGCTCGCGGGGAGCGCACACGGTGTTAGCCCCATGGCCGGGACTCCGGACCACGTTCCTCGGGGTGTCCCCGGGATTTGTTACCTTCTTGGATCCTTGCTCGCCGGACTGCTCTCCTCAGGGGCTGTCGCCTTCAATCTGGATGTGATGGGCGCCCTGCGCAAGGAGGGCGAGCCGGGAAGCCTCTTCGGCTTCTCTGTGGCTCTGCACCGGCAGCTACAGCCCCGACCCCAGAGCTGGTGAGTCACCGCGTCCGCCCAGAGTCCCCGTTCCCGAGCCACGGATCCCGTACCCTCACCTCATCTCTCACCTCAAAGACGCGACTGTACACAGATGTCCTGGACCCCATCCTGGAGCTTTGCCTTTTCTTTCTCGGGTCTGGAGGTGTACCCTCAGACCCCCAGACCCAGGCTCTTGCTTTGGGGATGAGTTGGAGTGCAAAGTTCTTGTCTTAGCAAGGACTATCTCCTTTTGCCTTCCTCTCACTCCCCTAACCTTCATCCTTACTCTAGTGATCTCAGGGTCTGTTGCTCTCCTTCAAAGGGCTGCATTTCCTCAGGGAGGGGGACTGAACATTTGGTTTCTTCTTAGGGCAGGAAGATTGGGAAAGGATAAGAGGCTGAAGGTACCGTGGGAGGGATGGGAGATAGATTCCAGAAATAAATTCCTGCCAGTGCATTGCCATAGGATGGAATGAGGGCAGCAGGACACCGGGAGACCAGGAGAGACCTGCTACTTCTGTGGCTCAAGACTATGGGAAGGTTGGGAGAGGACTTTGCAGGGTCTGTCAACTTGAACTATATGGTTTAGTGACAGAGAGTGGCAGAAAACATAGCCCCCAAAAGTTGTAGCCACAGCAGCAGCAGCAGCAGCAGCAGCAGCAGCAAGAGACAAGGCGGGTGGGGAGAGAGAGAGAGAGAGAGAGATCCAGGAAGGATGCTGGCCAGGCTGTTCCCCTTCATCCTCCTCAGGAAATTTCCAGCTCCAGGAATCTCAGCATTGGGGGAAGGCAGGGAGGAGTGAGGGGCAGAGAACAATTCTAGTTATTTTGTAATCAGTTCAGGACCCATGGAGAAGGACACACGTGCGTGGGGCCTGTGACTGTCATGCTTCCTGTACTATTGGCTCCAGCTTCATGTATGATTTTAAAAAGGCAAGAACGGGAAGAAAGCTTCCCACCCCATCCTGCCAAGGGGCTTTTCTCTCTTAGGCCAGTGCCTAAGCCACACTAAGTGTCCATTACTGGGATCGATGCTGTCCGCGGGGACTGTCTTCTCCCTGCTACTATTGGCCTGGGGGCAGAGGGTAGTGACAAGAACCCATTTCTCTTTTCCTGCTTAGGGAGGAGGGGCTAGCTCTGATCTTTCTCCTTCCATTATCCCTGTAATCATGGAGGAGGGTGTGTGGTCCCCCTAACTTTGGGGTAGATAGAAAGCAACTGACTTCATCTCTTCTTCAGCCTTCTGTCCACTTCCTCATCTGTCTCTCTCCCTCCCTCTTCCCCCATCTGCCAGAGTTTCAGGACTGGAGGCCTTTTTAGGACATGCTGAACTCTCTGAGCTATTTCCAGGCAAGTTCTAGGTTATTTTTAATAGCTTGGTCTCTTGTCATTTCCCCCTCATCTCTGAAGGTGGCCCCTGATTCTGTCTCCAGTAGTCAAGCTGGAGGCATTCCCAGAGGGGCCTGACTGCCTAACAGGGCTTTTGCCCCAGCAGGGGGTGCTCTGCTGCCTGGTGGCCCTTGAGAAACCAGGTACTTGACTCATCCCTAGCTTTTGAGTTCCAGGTCTTCTCCATGTAAAACTCTTAGAATAGGGTAAGGCCCATAGCTAATGCAATGAGGTATTAGTACTATTACTCCTGTTTTGGGATCCAGAGAGCTAAATAATAGGTTTAGTGCCTACAGTGAGCCGAATTCCAAAGGCTTGGCCAGGGCACCCCCAGGCTAAGCCAGTAACCCTCCCCAGAGGGCCACCCAGACTGAGAGAGTCAGAGACGGCTGGACTTGGGTGGGAATTTGGAGTGTGTAGATTGCTAAGAGGTGCAATGGTCTCGGGCTTCTCCTTTACTTTCTCTTTGCCCGGCTCCCAGGGAGTGAGTCCCTCTGCCCTCAGCTGCCAACATGTTTTTGCTTTGCTCTCTGCAGTGGCTGCAGCTGTGGCTACTGTTCTGTCCAGAGGTCTGGGGTGGCTGGGGATCATGGGATGAAGCCAGAAGGAGTGCGTGACTGGGCCAAAGGTGGAGGGACCACAGAGGCTGCGTGTGGGAACTCTCGTTCCAGGAGGGATGGGCTGGTCTGTTCTCCGCCAAGGGCGGGGTGGGGCAAATCCATGCGCTCAGCTTCTTTCCTCCTCATGGACCCCTTTCTTCCTCCCACCTCCCTCCTCTTGATCTCCAGAGGAGATTGTAAGCATTGAACACTGACTATTAGCTTCTTCTGGTGCTTAGCTATGCGCTGACCAGCTGAGGCAATAGCTTTCTCTGTAAGTCCACATGAAGTGTGGGTTCAGGCTCCTATGGGGCAAGCACAAAGATGAATAAGACAGCCTGGTCCTCCAAGAGATGTACATCACTGTGTTGGAGACGTGTGGGGGGTACTGAGGACTTGTCTGAAGGTTGGCTGTGCCACCTGGTTTCTTTTTCTGCCTGGAGTACCTTCCCCTCTCATTCCTCTTCTTCCCTTTCTGGAGGGGTCTCAATGTTTTGAAGATGGCCTGTCACTGAGTATGATGGAAAAGACATGAGAATTGGAGTTAGGCAGATGTGCATTTGAATTCCAGCATACTACTTAATGTCTCTGAGTGAGTGTTTTCATCTGAAAGACAAGAAAAGAAGCCTTGCGTGGGATTTTGAAGATTAAATGTGATAATGCACTTAACTTGCCTAGCCTCTGCAGCTAGGTAGAGGGTGATAAACATTAGTTTCTCTTGTTCCTGGCATTTAACCTAGGGCCTGACCCATAGCAGATTCTGAGTAGATATTACTTCCTTGCCTCACCAGTGCCTGACATAGGGCTTGGCAGATAGTTTCTCAATAAATAGTTGTTAATGAATGCTGAATGCATGCCATGCTGTCTTTCTTACCACTCTCCCCTCCCTTCTGTCTCTTGACACTGGCCCTAACATGGGATGACAGCTGCTAAGAGAGGAGGAGGAGTTGTGGGAAGGGAGAATGGCTCTGTGCCCTGCCCTCTTCCCTTACCATCAGAAGTGGCACAGTGCCCCACAGATGCCTGTCTGCAATATTGCCCCACACAGCTTTGGGCTTACCCCCCAGGAAGGGAGATGGAGGAAAACATTGTGGGAGAGAGACTTTGAGGTTTGCCCGGCTACCACTGTTGAGTCTGTCATTCTTTGGAGAGAGGATCCTTGTAGTCAGCTGGGTGCCAATCACCTCATCTCACTCCCTCTTTCACTCCTGGCCTGGGGGTTCAGCCCCAGGGGACCCAGGCAGCCTCCATTCCCAGCACAGTCCTCTCCCGGGGAAGAAACCTTGGCTGTGATTATGGAAAATTGCCTTGCCAAGAAAGTTGTAGCTGGGAAAGCGACTGAGGAGGAGAATACTGGGAGGGGGCAGGAGTGGGATGGGGTGGGAGGAGTGGGAAAATCATAGCTGTGGGGAGAAGGAAGGGTAGGAAATGGGGTTAAGGAAGTAGGGGGAGAATAAGGGAGGGAAGGATTGGAGATAGAATGAGAAATTTGCCCCCACCTCCCTGCCAGCTGGAGTGACTGATGGACTCCTGGGCTGGCAGGGTAGCTGGGGGTGGGGTCTTTGACAGGTCCCTGGTGAGGGGGTGGGGGAGCAGGCCCACATCCAGCCTCTTGCTTGGCCTCCGAAGCTGGTCCCTGGGCTACCTTGTGGTGCCAGTCTGGGCCCCTGTTACTTTTGCGCCCAGCATTCTTGGCATTTCTGGGAGGGTTTTCAACTGGACCAGGGAGGAGGGCAGAACTTGGGGATGGGGCCAGGGAATGGGTAGGAAAGGCCAGATCAGGAACAGGTGCTGGGAACAGGCGGTTCTTTCAAACTAGCAGTGCTGGCCCGGCTGCTTGGGTTGCTGTGTGTGTGTGTGTGTGTGTGTGTGTGTGTGTGTGTGTGTGTGTGTGTGTGCTGTGCATGTGGTCCCTCACCCAGAGAGTATGTGCATATGTAATGTGATGATTGCATGGCCAATGGTATTAACCTTGCCAGGACTTAAGAAAC